ATGCTTGCGTGCGTGTGTGTGTGTGCGTGTGTGTGTGCGTGCATACGTGCGTGTGAGTGTGTGCGTGTGTGTGTGCGTGCATACGTGCGTGTGTGTGTGTGCGTGTGTGTGTGTGCGTGTGTGTGTGTGTGCATACGTGCGTGTGTGTGTGTGCGTGTGTGTGTGTGCGTGTGTGTGTGTGTGCATACGTGCGCGTGTGTGTGCGTGCATGCGTGCGTGCGCTTGCCTGACCCATCTCTCGGCTCATGTTTCAGTCCTGAACAGCCTAACGAGTATATGCAGGCTATCTACGCCGTGGGCAATGTCATCCAGGACTACGACACTGACAAGATGTTCCCTGCACTTGGATTCGGCGCTAAACTGCTGCCTGACTGGGTTGTTTCACACGATTTCGCACTCAACTTCAACCCAGCAAACCCGTTCTGCGCAGGTAGAGCCGATCTAATGCTCTTAGATAGCTCGGAGGTGTTTCTAAAATCTCAAATGTGTTCGAAAAATACTTGGGTAATATCACGAATCCAACCGGTTTCTAGCACGCAGGGTTCCTGGAATTGAATGCGTGAAAGCGGTATAGATGAGAGATTAACTTCAACTTCTAACTTAATTTCCCACACTTTATATAAATTTCTACTTCTTTTCTGATTTAGATCCCCTTGTTCCCCCATTTTCTACATCAATTTCTACTTCTTTTTTTCCCTTTCCATTCCATTTTTCCCTTTACATCTACTTGTAACTTCACTATTCCGCCCGCAGGTGTCGCCGGCGTCGTGCAGGCCTACCAGAGCTGCATCACGCAGGTGCAGCTGTACGGACCGACGAACGTGGCGCCGATGATCGATCACGTGGCGCGGTTCGGCGCGGTGGCGGCCGCACAGCCCGGCGCCTCGCAATACTACGTCCTCCTCGTTCTCACCGACGGAGAGATCACCGACATGGCAGCAACGACGGAGGCCGTCGTGCGTGCGTCCGCCCTCCCCGTCTCCGTCATCATCATCGGTGTCGGACCCGCCGACTTCTCGCGCATGGAGTTCCTCGACGCGGACCGCGGCGCACTGGTGGCGCCCTCGGGGCGGCGCGCGGCGCGCGACATCGTGCAGTTTGTGCCGTTCCGTAGGTTCGCGCGCGCGAGTAAGGAGAGTCTCGCTCGCGCCGTGCTGGCCGAGTTGCCGAAGCAGGTCGTGGAGTACTTCAGCGTGAGGGACATACCGCCGAACAACCCGAACCCACAGCCTGCCTCGTAGGGGAGGTCGTAGGCCATAGGGGAGGTCGTAGGTAGTAGGGGAGGTTGTAGGTCATAGGGAAGGTCGTAGGTCGTAGGGAAGGTCGTAGGTCGTAGGGGAGGTCGTAGGTCGTAGGGAAGGTTGTAGGTCGTAGGGGAGGTCGTAGGTCATAGGGTGATTCCCGTTAACGCTCTCGCTGCTGGTGACAATAACCGGTGAGTGGGAGCAGTTATCCAACTTTACATTGCGATTACTAACAAACCCGTACAGTTTTCGTTTACTTACTTTCGAGTGGTTCAACATGCCTGCAAAAATTAGGTTTTAAAGTCGTGTGACTTTGCCTAAATTCCAAAACGTTTACTACAATCAAATACTAGAAAATACTCAACCATAGCTAAAAAAATGGATGCTTTAAATTGCAAGTGGCTCAGCTTGCTTTGAGATTAGAATTAGTGTACCCGAGATAAAACTCAGATAACTATATTAATCTTGCATTACATTTACACTGAATTTAGCACGTATTCATGCATACGTCGCATTACAGTCACAGCATATCTATTCGCATCTGCGACGTACCACAGCAATATTTCTCTCTCTATTCTTCTCTCTCTCTCTCGTCTGCAGTGAGCTTCTCATTCGATGCTACGATTTTGACACGATGAACGACAACGATCTCATTGGTGTGTTCATGACGACGCCCGCGGAGCTGATTGGCTGCGCGACGGAGAGCACGAGCCGCGCCTTCTCCTGTATCAACCCGAAGAAAACCGCGAAGAAAAAATACGTCGACTCGGGAAAGATCGAACTGCTTCACTGCAAGGTGCTTCATCGTCGTCGTGGCAACGCGAACGCATAATCCGCCATCGTCGACGGTATCCGTGGTAACGTGGTAACATCTGGGTGGTAGCGCGGTGAGATCGCAGATAGGATATATAATTTTGTTAATCTCACGGGTGAGGTACGCGTTCTGCACGCGCAAATTGACTAATCCACCTGAAATGATTGAAAACTAGCTCTAGCTTATCAGCATTACGATAGAGATATTCTAAAAATGGCAGCTTAGTAATGCACCGCACAGTGCAGCAAGGTAGTGCCGAAAAGTTTACAAAACGTTTCATTTTGCATGTACGGGGAAAACGCAAATAAACGGGTCTAGTCTGAGCTCGCAATAACATCCAGGGCGAATTGGTCGATTATGAGCAGTATATTTTCCTCTATATCTTCGATGATCTTTTGGACTCATCAATGACCGCACATTATTATTACAATTATTACAATTAATACAGATAACGAGGGATTACTCATTCCTTGACTACATTTTTGGAGGCATGCAACTCAACTTCTCAGTGGCTGTGGACTTTACTGCATCCAACGGGAACCCCACTGAGCCTGGCTCACTGCACTACATCAAGTAAGAGGGCAAACCAGATGAGTAGTCGGTGTTCGAATGCATTGTGCAGTACATTCAAACCAGTATGTAAAGGTAAATCGAGGGAAACATGAATAATATCTTTTCTCTATTATATAGTGTCTATTCTATAGAGACTGTGGCGCTGTGTATCTGCCACTCAAGGGAGAGAAAGTGTCCTTTGTAGAGACAGGAGTTTGTTTTATAAAGGTGCCCGAACAGACATGTTTGACAGTATTTCTGTTTAGTTGGTTCGTTCGGTATTTCATTTTGTGCGTGCATGCTTGCGTGCGTGTGTGTGTGTGCGTGTGTGTGTGCGTGTGTGTGTGTCGTGCGTGCTGATGCTTACGCGTGCGTGCGAGTTTGTGGCTGTGTCGTTAGATGTGCAGCGGCGCGCTGTGTATGGTGATTGGTGTGTGTTGTGTGGGCGCTGTCGCGTGTGTGTAGTCGTGTGTGCTGTTGTGTGTGTGGGTGTGTGTGGGCCTGTGTGGTGTGTGTGTGGTCGTGACCAGGGTCGAGAGGAGCGAGGCCCAAGCTGACCGCGGGCTGGGGGTGAGGCGGGAGGCGGGAGTAACCCGCAGCGCGCGGCCGAATGCGCGCTGGGCAAGCGCCACGACACCAAAGCCGTCAACCGAGTCGCTTCGCACCAACGTGTGTGTGCCGCGCGTGTGTGTGTGTTGCTCGCTGCCGCGTGTGTGTGCGCTGCATGGCGTGCGTGCGCTTGGGCCTGACCCATTTCTCGGCTCATGGCTGGTTCAGTTCTCTGAATTCAGCCTGAACGAGTATAATGCAGCGTGATCTGAGCCGTGAGGCAATTAGTATCTGAGCGGAAACTGACGACACTGGAAACAAGATGTTCCCTGCACTTGTGGATGGCCGCTAAACTGCCTGTCAAGACTGGGTTGTGGTTTACACGACGATTTCGGTCCACTCAATTTTCACCAGAAACGTGTCTGCGATAGAGACGAAATCTACTGCGCTCTAAGCATAGTCGGAGGTGTTTCTAAAATCGTCAAATGTGTTCGAAAAGATCGTCGGCGCGTAATATCACGGAATCCACACCGGTGTTCTAGCACGCCAGAGGTTCCTGGAATTGAATGCGTGGAGCGCCTAGGTAGATGAGAGAGTTAGACGGATAGTGTTTTTTCTACAAGATACCATTCACATACAGAGGGTGTATAAATAACTGCTGTACTCGCCATACCCGCGATGCTAAATTATGCAGTTGCGACCACAGTTCTTGTTATATTTTTATTTATGTTCTATTCTATATCCTGCCTATTTTACCTGTTCTATTTTTTTGTATTTCTTCCTTTTTCTATTTATATTTCTGGTTATTTCTTGTTTTTTTCCTTGATTATTTATTGTCTTTTTATCCATCTTTCACTCCCCCCACGACTCTATATAATATTTCAACTTTTTTTCTGATTTAGATCCCCGTCTAGTTCGCCATTTCTCATACAATCTCATTCTCGACTTCTTGTTTCCCTTATCCATTCCATTTTTCCCTTCTCATCTACTTGTATAGCTTCACTCTTCCGCGGGCCAGAGAAAATGGCGCAGGTGGTCGCCGAAGCGGTCGTACGAGCCCTACCAGGGCTGCTCATGAGGCGCGGGACGGTGGCAGCTGTGCGGGACGACGAACCTGGCACCGACATTGATCGATCCACGTTGGCGGCGGGGTTCGGGCGCAGGGTGGCGGACCGCGCAGCCGGGCGCCTGCTGCGAATACTAACGTCGCGTCCTTGTCCTACGCGACGGCGAGATCAGCCGACCATGCAGCAACGACGGAGGCCGTGTGCGCGCGAAGTCTGCGCCCTCCCATGCTCCATCATGCATCGAGAGTCTGTCCGGTGTCGGAAGCGACTGCCGGACTTCTCGCCGCATGGAGTTCCTCGGCACGCGGGGACGCGGCGCGGCCTGTGATTGGCGGCCCTCGGGAGGAAACGCGCGCGGCAGGCGCGACATCGTGCGGTTTGTGCCGTTCCGTAGGTTCGCACGCCGCGCGAGTAGAGGTCTCGCCTCGCGCCGACGTGGCGTAGCTGTCGAGGTTGCCGAAGCAGCGTCGGTGGGTATTTCAGCGGGACCCAGAAGGACATACGCCGAAACAACCTTGAGACCAGCTGGGCTTACGGAGCAGTCTAAGGCCATAGGGAGGTAGAACGTAAAGGTGATAGAAGTTGTACGGTGTAGGGGAGGTTGTAGGGTCGTAGGGGGAGGCATAGGGGAGGTCGGAGGTCGAGGTCATAGGGGAGGTCGTAGGTAGTAGGGGAGGTATAGGGAAGGTCGTAGGTAGTAGGGAAAAAAATGAGAAGCGAGGGTCGGAGCGTCGCAGGTCAATAGGTGAAGTTGGTCGGTAAGGGTAGTAGGACGGAGAAGGAGTTCAGTAGCGGAAGGTCGGATAGGGTGCGTAGCTCGAACATCAGAGGTCAGTAGGGAAGTCGAAATTAGGTCATAGGGAGGTCGATGAGTCGTAGGGACGAGGTGCGTACAGTGCTAGGGAGAGTGTAGGTCTAGAGGGGGACTCCCATGGGTACGTCGGATGAATAAGCACTACAAATCTGTGCTGCGTGCTCAACAGATAGGGGGTCAAAATTATCTCTTTTTCTATGAAAGGTTAAAGAGAATGTTTTTGGCTCATCGAAGGCCGGTGTGGAATTCAGCCTTCGCTTTGGTACTGGTGTTTGTTCAAAGGTCATCTTCATGGTTTTATAGTGATTAAAGAATAGCTTTTTAGTTCTCTTGATGTTAGTCTCAAATTCAACGATCGCTGTTTAAAGAAAATTCTTATTTTATTGTGTGAATAAATTATATGCTGTTTATGACTCTATAAGTCTGTAAACAAATACAGTTATATCGGTGCCAGTGTTGGTCAGGGACACAAAGTTATCAAATTGTAATTTTATGAAGATTAAACAATAAATAAATATATATATATATATACTGATATATATATATATAATATATATATATATATACTTGAGTTTATATACTAATATATATATATATAAATATATATATAATGATTCTATGGTCCAGACAATAGCACAATTGTAGCAAATTAGCAAACTGATATAAAATCTCTGTATTTGCTTAAGATGCCAGTAAAGATGGTTCACATATATCCATATGAGGCAAATTTGACCAAACCATGCTCGCTAGGAGGATAATTGATAATTATATTGATGGATTGGAAATCTCTATAGTGCTATTTTTTAAGCTCATTAGTCATTATTTTTACTGCTGTGAAAAATTTAGTTTCCCTATGTATAGTGATAGATAGTCGATGGAGGTATATGGGAGAGCGCGTAGGCTAGGATTTGGTATTTAGGGGGGGGGGGGCGAATGAGGAAAGTGTAGTGTGGGGCGAATAGGGGTAAATGTACGGAGGGAGTGAGGGGGATGATTCGGGGATTAGCATAACGATGGCGTGGCGACGAAGGAAGGGCCACAATAATTTCGGCAGCGACGGACGGGCGGGATCGGCGCAGGACGAGACATACACCACCACACAACATCACCACACCAGTCACGACACACCCAACGAACCACACAGAAACCGTAAACACAAACGAACAGGAACACACACAGCACACGACCAAACACACACACGACAGGGGCAGAGAGCACCACCACACAGCGGTGATGCATGTTAGTAACGTGCGATTAGGATGACATGCACGCAGGTGGCGGATTTGACAACGTCGTTTGTCAGGCGTGCGTAGTCATGGCAGTGCTAGGGTCTTGGGCATGCCCCCCCCAGAAATGGTTGAAAATATTTAAGCGATTTTGCCTGCAATCTGAGGCATACTGTGGGCTATTCTCAATGTCTGATGCTATTGCAACCTAAGACTCAAGTATCAAGGATGTAGGATTCAAAACCTTGTCTTTAAATTTTCAGAGAGCGTAGCAGAGTTAGGGTTACCTATAAGTAATAATACATGGTATTAAACAGGTATGAATTGGCAATTTTCCACGAATGTTTAACAGATAGTGTCTTTGTATGTTTGGAAGCCATGACTTTTTGGGTATTTGTGAGTCTGGAACCAATTTTCTTGAGAGTTTATTATGCATGGTCTGGCCGGTTGAAGGCAATTGGGTGTTCAAAATTATACATAATGGCCGCAATCTCACTTCGTGGCGTCAGACGACAATGGCTCTGATATACTGCAAAGAGAGCTTGATATACTTAATGATATGAGGTGGTAGATTTCCACTGCAACCCGCATAGCACTTGTACTTTTTTTGAGAGCGCCTTATGCCGTCTGGCAGTCACTCCTTTGATGCGCAAGGCCGTGCGCACTTGAAAGTCCTGTCTTAATATGGCATACCATGCATAGCCATGTTTGAACATGAGATTTGTACTGTAGGCTATATAGTTATAGCAGTACATGTTAGAAAACTCATTTCTCATGCAGTTTATTGCTGAATTGAGAACAATCAAATTTCTTTCTTATTTTTCTTGCTATCGCTGTCTTCTTGTTTTTTCTCTTTTTTTTGAATCTCAGGGGTATTTGTACGCCGCACCGCCGTCGCGTTCAAGGAGCGGGGGATGCAATCCCCAGCGCCATCCGCCCGGGCTTTACGCCCTGGTGCGAATCACTTAAGAGCGCGCGTTCCTAGGGTTGGTTCGGCAGGGAAGGGGGGAGTTCTTCCTGCCGCGGCGAAGGCGGGAAGTCTGAGGTTCTTAAAATTATTAGAGCAAAGAAGCCGATTCGTTATACAGTTCCTCGCGGGGAGTTTTGAATCGTTAATTTTAAAATGAATATGTGGCTTTATTGTTAAAGAAGTTTGATTGTTTTTTGAGGGATATGGTTCAGAAAAAGCCCAATGCATGTGAATAAATATATTGACGTGTTAGATTAACGGCAATCCGGAAACATCAGCAGTATTTTATCATAAATTTCATAATTGCTAGCAGGACTGTGTGAGCAGGTTAGAACACAATAAGAATACAGCAAGTAGCACGTAGAGAACCGCACGCTGTACACAAATGATCCGTGAGAGCATCGATATCATATATATTGTGGATTAGACTACGCATGATATGTTATGCGAGGTGGATGAAAGGCGATAAATGCGCTGGGGCTCAAAGTCATTTCAACAAATATTTTTAAGATAATTACAAGGATATTCTGTTGTGTTCCTGATTAATAAGATCTTGTTTAACACAGGTCTTTTGTACATAGTGTCGTTTTGTAGTGCTCGCTTTATTCTTACCTTTTTACTTTGCCTTGTCTCTCTCTCTCTCGAGGTGTTTTTGGCGCGTTATGGAAGGGGGGGCACCGCGTCGCCCTGTGTACGCGCGACTCGTATAGGTGATATAGATCGTTGATAGATACCACTGTAGGCTATACCACAGGCTACCACACCTTTTATTTTACTAGTTTACATTTGTTAGATACTCATGATGGTCTAGACGCGCGTACTCACCCGCGACGTATCATGTAGGGCAATGCTCACGGTCTGCTAAGAGTTTAATATATAGCGGCAAGTATACAAGTTTTATAATATATTGTTTACGAACATATATAATAAACCAAAATAAATCAATAGACAATTCTGATTGTGTGGTGTATAGGAAATGCATCGTCGTGCCAGCACACGCTCTTAAAAAATATCCGCTCGACGTGAGGTGCGTAGCTACCATAAGCAGATACGCCGTTGCGTAATAGACATCATGTTCCACGAAGGTGGTGTGGTGTGTGTGGGGCAGAGAGAGAGAGGGCGACGAGAGGAGAAGAGAGGAGAGAGAGAGAGAGAGAGGAGAGAGAGAGAGAGAGGGCGAGAGAGAGAGAGAGAGAGAGAGAGAGAGGCGCGAAGAGAGAGAGAAGAGCAGAGAGAGAGAAAGAAGGGAGAGAGAGGAGAGAGAGAGCGAGAGAGAGAGAGAAGGAGAGAGAGACGAGAAGAGAAGAAGAGAGGGAGGAGAGAGGAGGAGTCAGTCAGTCAGAGAACCTAATTGTCCCACTACAGACATGTGATAATGAAATCGGACGTGATGCGGTGATGCGTGGAGTGTGGTGATGTTGCATGAGGTGAGGATGTGTTGGTTGTGAGCACACACGCGCGCGCAACGCATAGCGACGCTTCGCGTCGCACGCTTACAGGAGCAGC